GCAACACAAAACATCAGCACATGAAACAGAGTGGAAAAAGCTGCAGGCCTGTGAACTCCTGCCAGGTGTTACAACCTAGGCTGTAAGTTTATTCATTTAACTGAAACTGTTTCTTCTGGGCAAGAAAAAAAAATAGAAAATTCCAGGAAGGAGCAGGGCTCTACAACTTAACTTGACAAAGGTATTTTAAGTTCAACTTGAAAGTCATATCACATAACAAAATATGGCCTCATGTTGTGAAAGGCAGAGGGCTAGCTCCAGTTTCATTAAGTTCAGCTCACTGCGCCAACACCTGTGTGTCCCTAGGCCTTACAAATGGCTGAAGAATAACATTTCAGATCACTCTATAGGAAGAATCTTACTCTGTGCTGCAAAACAGTCTGACAGCAGCAGTCAGAAGACAAAATAAAGGCAAAAAGAGAGCCCAAAAGAAAATTAAAATTATGGAGGGGGACAAAAAAAATCAAAACGGAAAGAAAGGGCTGGAGAGATATCAAAGTTTGGTAACATATGGGTAAAACATTTTCACAGAAAAAAAGTGGGAAAAACAGATGATAGTAGACATCAATACCTTACACAATTTCAAATCCTAAAAACTCTAAAAACCTAATTCCTAATGTTCTATTGTTATGTATCCATACACATTATGTAAACTACTGAACGTTGTATTTGACAAATACTGTATGTACACAGATATCTTTTCAAAGCTCTTTCAGACAAAAAATATAACATGTTCTTCTCATAATACACTTATGTGCCTATCTCTGAGAACATTAGAATAAACATCAACATCAGAGTCTCATTAAACACGAGAGAAAGAACAACTAATCAGGATTTATTCAGCTAACTGCTTTTCTGAGACTGAAGCAGAGATCTGTTAAAATCTGCCTTTATTCCTGGGAGCATATTAGTGTCTGTAATGTCATGTTCCAGAAAGGTCTCTTTGATCCTGGAATTCTGATCAAGAACAGAGACCAGACACAGCTCTTGAACTAAACAGCAATTAGATATTCCCAACAATAAGGGGTGATTGATGTTAAAAGAAAAAATTATTGCTGTGCATATAACTTCCCTTAATTATACACATGTAGTAAGATCTCTTTTAGTATTAGAGAAATTATGCTAAGTAGAGACTAGGAGAAACAAGCTTAGAGAAAGAAAGGTCACCAAGTTTAGATGTGGGCGACTGAGAACCAAGTGCTTTATCTCCAGAGTCAGCAGGACTCTCTCTTCTCTTCAAGCCTGTAGTGAGGAATATAACCTAGGGAAAAAAATCAATTACTCTATATTCTTAAATCATGAAGCAAAATTCTTTTGTCACCCACTTTTCATTGAGATAAAAACTGAGGAATCATAATAGTTTGGAGAAATGGGCAAACAGGAATCTCTTGAAGTTCAGCAAAAGGAAGTGCACAGTTCTGCACCTGGCAAGGCATGATGCCATGCACCAGTACATAATGGAGGTGAACAGATAGGAAGAAGCCTTGAAGAAAGATCCAGGAGATAGAGGAGAGAGTTGAAGAGCCAACACTGTGCTCTTGTAAAGAAAACCAGCAGTATGCTAGGCTGCATAAGGAGGAGTATTGCCTGCATGTTGAGGGATGTGATCGTTCACTGCTCCTCAGCACTGGTGAGGCCACTACTGGTGTACTGTGCCCACTTCTGGACTCTCTAATACAAGAGACACATGAATATACTGGAGAGGATCTAGCCAAGAGCTGAACTAAGATGATGAATGGGTTGGAGCATCTCCCATAGGAGGAACTTTAAAGAGAGCTCAGATTTCTGAGTCTGGAGAAGACTCAGAAGAAAACTCATCAAGGTGTCTGGATACCTGCAGGAGGGTGTAGAGATGACAGAGTTAGTCTCTTGTCAGTGGTGTCCAGTGACAGAGTGAAAACAATAGGTACAAGCTGAAACATGGCAGGTTCTTCCTCAACCCAAGGAGATACCCTTTTACTTGGAGGGTAAATGAGCATAGTAACAGGTTGCTCCCAGAGAACTGGTGGACTCTGTCCTTGGAGACCTTCAAAAGCCATCTGGAGAGGGGCTTGGAAAACCTGGTCTATGTGAACATACTTGAGCAGGAACCTTAAACATGGTGACCTCTAGAGGTCCCTTCCAACCATTCTGTCATCTCCAGTGACAAAACACACGTCCTTCTCCCTTGAGAAGAGCCCAAGGAGAAGCTGAGCCACGGTGCTCCCTCCGTTGGCATGTGGAAGTTCACCAGGAGCTACCCTGCTGCATTGCTGGGCTTCCTGTTGCCAAGTGATTGTGTGTGAGATTCCAGCCTCTCATCAAAGGACCCTGAAGTTCAAGAAGGTAGCGTCTGTACCCACTGTAGGGAATGCTTTTCAACACTGTGTGGCAATGAGCTGCCCAGGACTGTGTTCTGCAAACATTGCAAGTGGAGAATTACCATTAGAAATGTGGAGGTTGCTCTTCTGCCTGCCATCAGCAGAAATACATACCAGTGTGAAAGCACAGTACCCAGCTTGTCCTTGGAGATTCTCAAAAGCTGTCTGGACATGATTCTGGGCAACCTCCTGTGTGGTATTGACCTTCAGAGGTCCCTTCCAACTCAAAAAAGTGGAATTGTAATTTTTGTTGCTTGCCTAAAATGTCAACCAATATAAGCTCTTTTATGAAGATATTATTACAGGTGATCGCCTTTTAATTTTGCTCTTATATCATAAATACTTGGCTAGTATTTGCTAGAAAACTTTTATCTGTATCTTATCCTGAATATTAGCGATATCTAAAATAATATAGTCAATTGGTACAAAACAATGAGATATCATTCTGAAAAAATATGTCAACACCACCTAGTTGGCTGTTGAGTGCCGATTTTTAGTTAGGTATGCCTTGTTGCTTCCTAAAACATGGCTTGTAATAGTCAAAGGTTTTCTGGAGAATTTTTCAGGAAGCATTAGTCCTGTTTTTGACACTGATGCTATTTTGCAGTGCTGTAACTAAGTTCCAAAAATATTGACAAGGTAGTTGAACTGGTGTCTGGATAGCTCTTTAAACTGAATTTGGGCCATTCTGTAAAGAGTGGACGTTTTACCTAAAAGCAGATTTCTTTCTTGCTGTGAGAATGGTTTCTGTCTACTGCATAGTTGCCAAAATAAATTTCTCTGGAAAGAGGAAGATCATCGTTCCTATGCAGAAGAACAGCTAACTTTTGGTTCGCAACACGAAGTGAAAGGTTTACTACTGCCAGGAAAGAGTGAGGAAAGAAATACAGGAAATTTTACTGCATATCCAATTCTTTGGCAACACAATGATCTTGTTGTAGGTTTTTGGTCTAGCTTAGTTTTATTTTAGGCTTACTTTGTTGCTTGCTGAATCACTTAAGAGGGGCATTTCTTGCAGATTTTTAATTTGTTGGTCCTTTGTCTATGGAAGTTCACTGACTTCCAAGGAAGCATTTCATTCATCTTTCATTCATTGTCAACATCTTAAATCAGATTCATTATCAGATACTTTTTGAAAAGAACAAGTCAGTGGATAACCAGCTCTATCACTACAGGTCAGAGCATTTATGAACACATTCCCTTTTTTCTCCTTTTTTACCAAGACACTATGATCATTTAAAAGCCCTCCAATCTCAGTCTTTTCCAAAATAACTTTGGGGCTTGACACTGGTTGAAAATATGTTCATATTATCTTTTCTGAAAATTTAAAGGAAAAATTCAGTGTATACAAGTCCTACTAATATTAAAAATAATTTTTTTTAATCAAATTTTGTGTGCTAGGAACTGAATATAACTTCACTTGTCAAATGGCTTCTGAAGTTATCCACAAGATATTTTGTGCTACAGCCCATATGAGATTAAGGTCTCAACATTATTTGCCATTTTGGAAATTTGACTTTGTAGCAATTAAATAAATTGGAATACATTACAGGTTTATATTTTTGGGATGCAGCTAGTCCAAGGAGCAGAAAAAAGATCTCCATACTTCTTTTCTTCACTTACTGGTCTTCTGGAAAGTTGGTAGTATTGCCAGGCATTGTTCGTAAAAAGACAATAGCTACAAATGTCTCCCACAATCATTCAAAACTTTCCTACTCCTCTACGTTACGCCACACTGCAACAAAACCTTATTTTCATCCAGATAAAATTATTAGCTCTTATCATTATTCTATTCACGCTAAGGAAATAATTCTATATTTAAAAAGGTCTTCAGAGGAAATATTCTTTCTTAACTTTTTTACATGTTTGGAGTTTTTTAAATTATTTTTATATTTTTTTCCAGTCAATATTCTCCACAAAAAGTTTTTAACTATTAACCACTACCAACAATTCTAAAAATTACAAGCCTTTTATGTAAATTTTACCTACTGACATGGGCAAAATGCTACCTTTTAAAAGGTATTGAACAATAAAAGTATTTCAAAATTTCTGGAAGGAATAGCAATGAGAAAGCTTTTTCCCCAAAATTCCCCCAAAAAATGTGTGTACACACACTACACAGTGTAGGAGCTTAAAGTCTGTCTTTCCAGAAGCATCAGACCTCCTGTATATGTCCTAAACAGAGGTTAACATGTTACATATACGTTGCTTCCCCCCATCCCTCTCTGGAGGGGACGAAATACAGAATTCAGGAGTGCAATTGTGACTGGGGAGAAGAGAGGGGTAGGGTTAAGGTATTTTAAGATTTGGGTTTAATTTTTTCGTTATCCTACTGTGACTTTGATTGTTAATAAAATAAACTATTTTCCCCAAGTTTAATTTTTTCATTATCCTACTGTGACTTTGATTGCTAATAAAATAAACTATTTTCCCCAAGTTTTGCCTGTGACAGCAATTGATGAGTGATCTCATCAATAGGAATAGGGATGTAGTGCTTGTGTGTGCATACATGGACTTGGAAGAAAATTAATCAGATTAAAAGAACTCCATGTTGAACATCTGAAAAATTAGATAACAAGCCTTGGATTTTCTCTCTCCAAAGAGTTGATGTATGAATTTAGAGCAACATAAAGACCTCATACACTGTCAGTGATGTTCAACTGTCCTCCTTATAAAGCTGCTGAGATATATGAACTCTATTCCTTTTAGCATAGCAGCTGTGTACATGGACTAGTGAAACCAGCTAAAAAATCTCAGACTAATGTCCAGGAAAGAACTGAATCCTGGCCTCTGGCTGGATAAAATTGTTTCTCCATCTCTTCAGCTGCACAAGAACAGCTTTTAGCTGTACATAAATATCTGTACACATCCACTTTTTAATTTAACTTAAAGATACGTCTCTTCCTGTTGGAGGATAAACAATTTCCAAAAGAAAGTAGTGTTATTAAAAGGGCACATTCTTCTTCCTAATGTGGGCACAAATCAGGTCAGACATTTCCAACATTCTTGACTTCTGAGGATTACAGCTTTTAAGAGACATGTTCTCATCTCTCACATTCAGACTATATATATGGAACATATCAAAACTACATCAAAGAGCCAGCAATTTATATTCATGATGTAGGAGGTGACCTTTTCACTCATGAGTGGTGTAGTCATGTGGAGTGGCTAATGAGAGAAACGCTACTGAGAGGGGATAAATTTCAAACCTTCAGAATAATTATTAGACATTTTTTTGTACTTATAAACCTCCCTTATTTCAAACTGTCCCTTGATTTATAAAGCTGTCTTAGTTTTGTAAGCAATAGCGATAGTCTCATCCAATGCCAAAGGCTGATGAATTGTCCTTGTAGGGGCTTCTCTTCCTGGTATTGAATGCCAGAGAAATGCAACAAAAAGTTAAAAACAGAACTATAAGGAAAAAGGGCAGAGGAGGATGAAAGATGACTTGGAAGGAATGAGGAAGGACACATCTGTACTGCACTTCACTGATGATAATCTCTGCACAGTTTATGACACAGAGGCAGTGGGAACAGTGAGGCAATCATTTTACTTGCCTGTCATCTGCAGAGAGTATTTCAAATTGCAGGGTGAAATTCTGGCTCCATCGAAATGAGACACAAAGCTTCTGTTGGTTTAAATGAAGGCCAGAATTTCTATGGATTCCCAGAGAGGGGCAGACAGGCAGAGTGGCAGCTGTACCATCTCCATGACTGTGTCAGTCTTCATCAGGATCTTAAAAGCTTTTCTTCAACTCTGTTTCCAGAAGCCTATGAAGGATTCAATAACATAGATACTTTTTCAAACATGCTGAATTTAAAAAGTAGTCTCAGATAATCTAATCCTGGTTTGGAACATCTTTAAATAAAAAACACTGTCCTTACAAGTTTATGCATGGGTCACTGCATATTTAAATTAATATTTCCAATTTTTTTCGTTTAATCTATACAAAAAGGGCCTCAGAGCATGTAACAGACAAAAAATATCATCATTTGTAGTTGTCAAAATAGAGAAAATCCCCCTATTGTGACTGCAAGAAATTTACATCTTGGAGGCAGAAGAAGTTTTCCCAAAATGTCTGAGGTGCACAGTTATGAATTTCCCTGAACAAAATTTTGTCCTGATTAACAAGCAATACATGGGCATACACACAACTGGTAGGTTGCAGTAAATGCGTTTACAGAAGCAATTCTTTTTGTAGCGGATTTTAATAGAAGTGAGCCTTGATGGGGGAGCATCCTTGATGAGTAAGTGAAGAATGACATTCAAAAGAGGAAAGCGGCTAGCCACAATATCAAATGTTCTGTAAGAAAGAAAATCTGGAAGAACAAGAGGAAGAAGCTCAGAAACTGAAGAAATGAAAAACCAAAAGTAGTCTTCCTATAAACCCCTACTATATTGCAGGTGGATTTTTATTCAAACTTATATACTAAACTGGTGATGATACAGAGGTGTGATCATTCAATATGTTACCTTGGTCACACAGTGAGAATCTCTGCTAAAAAATTATGAAGCAGTGGGGACAGATGGTATGGCAAGAAAACAACTTCAACCAGATTACAAAAAGTTTTATATGCATATACTATTATGTATTTACACATATACATGCAAATATCTGTACACACATTTCTATATGTATACATAAAAGATTCTAATACTGCTTAAGTCAGTAACTGACTTCATTGTGCCCACAATATATAAGCATACTAACACACACCTATAGACACACACACACACGTGCACAGAGGCCATGATATCTTGAGAATATGGTGGCTATGGTAAGTGTGGTTTTGGTTGAATTCCATCAAAGAATGTGGACGAAGCTGATAACGCCCCATTTTACTTAAAGGAAAAAAAAGAAATCAGATAAAATCTGGGGTTAAAATCTCACTTCATCTAACTGAATTAATTATTTGTAAATGAGTCAATGGAACAGAATAGGATACTTATTGGCTACTGAGACACTGGATTATTATATTAATTATTGACTTGGACCAACTCACCTGTGTGTGTATTTGGGGAAGGGACAGGTCAAATTTTGTGGAAGTGAGGTAATGCCCTATCTCACACCTCAAGCCCAGCCAGTGTCCTGGAGGGACACTGGAGTAACTGTCAGTCAAAGGCAACCCAGGAGCACTGCTCCACACCATGGCCCCTGGAACCCCTAACAAGCCTCTGACTGGCTGACACAGAGGGAGCACTGTCCCCCACCCTGTCCCGGAACCCCACAGTGGTCAAGGGACCAGAAGTCCTGCCTGGGAGGGATGGCCACAGGGCCAGAGCAGATAAAACCAAAGACATGCTCTCCATATTGTTCCAACCCTGCCACTTGCGCATGTGGGAGCTGGACTTGCACAGGACTCTAGGTGATAGCTAAGCATTCTCTTTTTCTCTCTCTTTTCTTTACTTCTTCTCCTAATCTCCTGTCTTAATATTTTGGGTAGCTTGAGGCTGACTGGGTTGGATTTTGCTAAGCTGTATGGGTTTACATGTGTGAAGTCAATGCTTTGTGGAATGCTTTATTTTGGTTGAACGTTACCCTTTAAACTTTTGTCAAGTTTCCTTATTTTGTGAAGTTTAACTCCTGAGTACCTCAGAAGTACTTCTTGAGAAAATGTGTGTAGCTTTTCTGATTTGTGCTCTCTCTTAAGGTGTTAAAAGAACCAAAGGATCTTCTAATAATGCAGAGGACAGATATTGTTGGAGCCTTGTATATTTTTAAAGTAAAAACCCTTTGGTGAGCTTGTAGCTTGGGGGCCGGGGTCTTACAGCTGCTGTATCTGTTTTGAAAGGTTAGTGGCAATATATTTGTAAGAGATAGGAAATTTACATGAATGGTAAACTTGTGAACAGGTGATCTAAGATTCTGCACTAAATATGTCATGATATAACAATACGCTTTCACATTTCTTAAACTGTAAAAAGTGGAAAAGCCTTCTGAAGAGTCTTAATTATTTTCATCATTTCAGAACCGTTTAATTATCTGACTTACTTTCTTGCTTTCTGGGCTTTTGTGGACTTTGGGTCTGGTTTTAACTTCTTAAATTCACACACTTCTTTTTTTATATTCATAGACAACACCTCTTGTCTAGGATGTTTGTGCTGCATGTACGACTGCACTGTTTTATGGGGGTGAGAAATGTTTGATTTAAGGGAAAAAGCCTTTTAAATTGAGTGAGTATTTATACAAAAATGATCTCTTAGATAGAGATCTATGGATAAGGTTAAAATGATCCTCATTTGTGCCAAATATTTATTTATTCTCATCAACACAGTGCCACATAATGTCTGCTTAACTGCTGTCATGGTTTAACCCCAGTTGGCAACTAAACCCCATGCAGTGAGTTTCTTACTCCCCATCCAGCATGATGAGGGAGAAATCAGTGGGTTGAGATAAAGACACTTTAGCAGGTAAAGCAAAAGCTGCACACACAAACAAAGCAAAACATGAAATTCAGTCACTGCTTTCAATGGGCAGATAGGTGTTCAGCCATTTTCAGGAAAACAGGGTTCCATCATGCACAGTCGTTATATTGGCCTGAATGCAGGTTCGTTACCTGGTGAGCAGCATCTATTCACACACTGAGGCAATGTATTTCTATTTTTTATTCTAGTTTGTGCAAAGTAGGGAGCTAGGTGGTAACCCACAAAAGGCTGGCTCCTCGATCATCAGAATTTTACATTATTTATACATTTTCGCAAACAAAGGCATCAGCATTCATTGGTTAAAAATTACCTTTTTTATTAATTAGTACTCAAACCCCTGTTTGCTAGTTTTATATCTCGCTTCTTGTACTAATTAGTCAACATAAGCAAATCTTCTCTTCATTTGAGTCTGGGATCCATTTTGAATAGGTGGTCAGTAAGTTGATGGTTGCGCTCACCCATTGCCAGGATTACCTTTCCCCCAGCTATTGCTCAGTTCTGCTGATTGAGATAAAAAATTCTCCTGATGACTCTTGACGAGACAAGCAATTCATCTTGGAATTGTTTTCTCTTTTCCTTCAATCAAAAGATAAGCCAAGCATAAAACGTTCACAACACAACTGTTTAATTGTAACTGTCCAGCTATAGCTACTGATTAACAATTAAAAAATTTGCAAATTTAGTTTCAAATCTTAAGAGGCTCAAATATCAGAGCTAAATATCAGTTACTTAGGAAGACCAACTCTATCACTTTGGACATCTCTCCCTTCTTTCTTCTCCCCCTAAGATGAGGATGAAGCCATATGGTCTGGAATATCCTTTTGGTTACTTGATATCATCTATCCCAGTTGTGTCCCCTCCCAACTCCCACTCACTGGTGGAGTGGCATGAGGAGGAGAAAGTCTTTCACACTGTGTAAGTGCTGCTCAGCAATAACAAAAACATTCCTGAGTTATCAACACTATTTCCAGCACAAACCCAAAACACAGCTCCATACTAAGCACTATGAAGAAAATTAAGTCTACCTCAGCCAAAACCAGAGCAACTGGGTTTTTATCAGCATGGCGTTTCCCCGCCCCCCCATCCCCTTTTTTTTCTTCATGTATGTCAGTTTGTTTGACTGCAGGGACACAATTTGGTTTGCAAAGAAAGAACTCCAAGATGTCGTTATAAATGTTTTGGGAAAATTAGTAACCTGAGCTAATTTTCTCAAAATTCAGCTGGTATTTAGATTTCCATAAACTCATAGTAGGAGGAAACTTTTTCATTGTGATTCTGAAAAGAGAGAAAATACCTATTCTAAAAATAAGTGGCAACTTGGATTTTTTTTTCTTCCTCTTCTCTGTAGTCTTGAAATTACTGTAACAACTCTAAAAGCACAGCTGAAGACCTCAAGTCACATTAATGGAAGACAAAGCAAAGATATGAGAACATCAAGAAGCAGCACCTCTTTAGTCCTGCTGTGCAGTCTGAATATTTGATGCTCTATTCCTCCCACATATACTTTTAATATTCTTCACTCTTTATTCATAACAGTGAGATAGCAGATACTGTTTTTATATAAGCATGTTATTTCATCTTTTGTACCAAGAATGTGTGAATGCAGGTGGTAGAGTATCACAGT